CCTCCCTCCATTGTCGCTCGTGAGCTCGTGAGCTTCAGTCTCGTCGTCTCCGGCGTCTTCCCCGTTTTTCCCTTGCTGTCGCTGTCGCTGCCGTCGCAGATCTGCCGGCGGCTCCTTCCGCCGGCGACGAGGCACCCGTTTCGAGACAGGGGTGTGGCGAGGAAATGGTGGTGGCGGTCGTCTGGTTGGTGGTGTTTGCGTGCTCCCTCGCGGTCTCGGAGGCCGTCGGTCCGGCTTCCGGCGACGCAATGTCGCTCCTCGGCTTCAAGAGCTCGGTGTCCGCCGACCCCGGCGGCCTTCTGTCGGGGTGGAACGGCTCGACGAGCCCCTGCGCTTGGCGCGGCGTCACGTGCGACGCGTCGTCCGGTAGAGTGGTGGCGTTGAGCGTCGGGGGGAGCTTGTCGCGGCTTGGTTTCCCGAGGGAGGACTCGTATCTCGCCGGGGAGTTGCCTGAGGCCGTCGGAGACCTGTCGGAGCTCCGGACTCTGTCGATACCGTACAATGCGTTCTCCGGTCAGATTCCGGCGAGCATTGGGAAGCTCCGGTTCCTCGAGGTTTTGGAGCTCCAAGGGAATAACTTCTCCGGCGGGATTCCTGTTCAAATAAGGTACCATCCGTTTCTTCGCTTGGTGGATTTGTCGTGTAATTCGTTATCCGGTTCGATACCGAGTGGTTTGATTGGGTATGGAAGACTAGCTGCGGTTGATTTGTCCACTAATCAGCTTTCTGGTGGGATTGAAGTGGATAAAAGGAGCGACTGCAAGCTTTTGAGATATTTGAAGCTGTCAAATAACTTTCTGGTGAATAATATTCCACCCGAGATTGGAAAATGCATTAATATGAGGACTCTGTTGCTCGATGGCAACATCCTCGAGGGTAGGATTCCACCCGAGATTGGTAATATCGCAGCTCTTCGGGTTTTAGATGTTTCCCGGAACAGTCTCGTTGATAGGATCCCGATAGAGCTATCAAATTGTCGGAACCTATCTGTTATTGTGTTGACTAATTTGGTCGATTATAGTTCGAGTAGCAATGGCTCGTTGGATAGCCTCAGAGGGGAGTTCAATGCATTCGCAGGGGGGATTCCACATGAAATTTTTCTGCTTCCAAGCCTGCAGATTTTGTGGGCACCGAGGGCGAATCTTGGGGGGCGGTTGCCGAGTGATTGGGGCGAGTCTTGCTCGCTGAGAGTCCTCAATTTGGGTCAGAATTATTTTGCTGGTGTGCTGCCTGAAGGCATGGGGGTCTGCAGAAAGCTTTCCTTTTTGGATGTGAGTTCGAATAATTTGATGGGTCCTCTCCCTTCGCAGTTGCAGATCCCATGTATGGTTTACTTCAATGTCAGCCTGAACAACTTAACTGGTGTTCTTCCCAAGTTTCTGCAAGGCAGTTGCACTGCTAATGCGATCTTCAGTGAAGAAAGCGTCAATGCAGAAGATCTTCAGAATTCCAACTTGGTCATTTGGACTTCTAGAATGGGAATTTCTTCTCGGTCCGATGTAAATGGTACCTCAGCAGTGGTTCATGATTTTAGCCGGAACAATTTCGTTGGCCCGTTGCCTCAGTTTGTGTTGGGAGATGAATTTCTGGGAACTGATAGGAGATCTTCATACAGACTCTTACTGAACGATAACAAGTTCAACGGGTCTTTCCCTGTCAACCTGATCTCGAACTGCAGTCATCTTCTTAGCTTTTCAGTGAACCTGAGTGCTAACCTGATAGAGAGCACAGTTGATGAGGTATCGCTTCTAGATTGTGAAGGGCTATCCGAATTTGTAGCAGCAGACAATCAGATTAGTGGGCCAATCTCTCCTAATATTGCGAACTTCATGATGCTTCAATTTCTCGACATTCGAAGAAATAGATTACATGGATCTCTGCCTGGTCAACTAGGGAATTTGAAAAACCTCAAATGGATGCTTCTTGGTGGAAACAACCTGACTGGGGAAATTCCATCTCAACTTGGTCAATTAACTTCACTAACATTTTTGGACCTTTCTCAAAATGCTCTGACAGGATCAATACCAGCAAATTTGACAAATGCCTTGAATCTTGTAAGTTTGCTTCTTGATCATAACAGCCTCTCTGGGGAGATTCCTCAATCTTTTTCGGCCCTTCCCAATCTTGTGACTCTGGACCTTTCTTTCAACAATCTTTCTGGCCATATTCCACACGTTCAGCACCAGAGTGATTGCAGTTCTTTCAGAGAAAATATTCATCTGCTTCCTTGCCCAGATTCATATGTTACACCTCCAGCTGGGCTTCCAGTGCCGCTGGAAGTTAAAAGGTCTCATGGCCCAAAAAAACGAAAACCTCTCATCATCGCGCTGGTAACTTCTGCTGCTATTATACTCAGCGTGCTCATAATTTTGGTCCTTGTCCTTGTCTTGGGAAGGAGAAAGCTTCGACGACTTACTAGCTTGAGAAGGAAAGTAGTTGTTACCTTTGCAGATGTTCCAGCTGAAGTGAACTATGATAGTGTGGTTAGAGCGACAGAAAATTTCAGCATCCGGTATCTAATTGGTACGGGTGGCTTTGGCTCAACGTACAAAGCAGAGTTGGTCCCAGGTTTCCTAGTAGCTGTAAAGAGGCTTTCTGTTGGTAGATTTCAAGGCATTCAACAGTTCGATGCAGAAATATCAACTTTAGGGAGAATACGGCATAAGAACCTTGTTACTCTTATTGGGTATTACGTGGGAGAGACAGAAATGTTCTTGATTTATAACTACCTATCTGGTGGAAACCTTGAAGCCTTCATACATCAGAGGTCTGGAGAAAATGTAAAGTGGCCAGTGATCCACAAAATAGCTCTTGATGTAGCACAGGCTCTGGCTTACCTCCACTACTCTTGTAGTCCCAGAATTGTTCACAGGGACATTAAGCCAAGCAACATTCTGCTGGACAAAGAGCTTAACGCCTACCTTTCAGACTTTGGGCTTGCTAGGCTCTTAGAAGTTTCTGAGACACACGCCACGACGGATGTAGCTGGTACGTTCGGGTATGTGGCACCAGAATATGCGACCACATGCCGGGTTTCTGACAAGGCAGATGTATATAGCTTTGGTGTTGTACTGTTGGAACTGATGTCAGGGAAGAGATCAATTGATCCCTCATTTTCTGAATTTGGAAATGGGTTCAACATTGTGGCATGGGCCAGGTTCCTAATCATGGAGGGCCGTTCGTCTGAGCTCTTCTCTACAGAACTACGGGAGGCTGGGCCCCTGGAAAATCTTTTGGGGATGCTAAGGCTTGCATCAGTTTGCACTGCAGAGTCGCTCTCCGTTCGCCCCTCGATGAAGCAGGTTGTTGAGAAGTTGAAACAGTTGAAATCTTGAGTTGAACAAGGCTTCTTGACTCTTTGTATTCAGATGGGAGAAGTTGGAGCCTGTTCTTACCACAGTAAATATTTAATCAAGGTGAGTAGCTTTTACAGATTGTAAGTTTGATCTTACGTTTAAAGCTAAGTCCTGTAGTATCCTACTATGATAATTTCCTTTTGTTGGTTCATTTAGGAAAAGTTTCTACAGAAACATGGTGATATCGTCGTTCATATCCTCGATCTAATCTTGTCATGCTAATGTTTGCTCAATGAACCTCCAAGTTCCGAGCGTCACGTTCTGTCAGTCTATAGATGTGGTCCACAATTTAAAAAGCAGGCTGCCTTCTAGAGTCATAGCATTTATATCTATGTGATGCCTGAAACATGTTACTCTTGAAGACAGTACACTTACGGTCAATGATGACTCCCAAATTGCCGCCACTAGGCGTGGGGCTCTAAAATTTAAACCATGCTGAATTTATTTGTCTTGCGGTCTGTTATCTGAGGATGAAAAGGTGTTTCTGTGAATCTCAGCAGAGTCTGCATTTAACTCATTGCATTGTTGATTTCTTCAGCCATACTCCTCGTACTTAAAACGCTCCTCAAACTGAAGCGCCTTCCGTGTTGTTTCCACAGGAACGTCCAAAATCTCGAGACAGTGGAGAGGGCATGAGTACTTGCGAAAACTGTGATAAAGGAGAGAGTTCCATGTCACCGGCTTATATGCTCCCCCCGATTTAATTGTCTGAGCTTGCCAAAAAAACAAAATTACTTGAGACATCAGCAGTGACCTGATGGTTAGAGTTGGGGGACCAAAAGTGCCCAGCGACATGGGATTTCGTGATATTTTCTCACAGTGAAGAGCAACATTCTGGTCAAGTCAATTCATGGAGATGCTGAACAGAGTCTACGGGCGAAAGACACAGTAGATTAGGATTGCTGAATTTTTCTATCGAATGAAGCCCATTTAAGTTGCTTCATTTGCAAATGAAGCCATCAACAAAGATGATGAATGGTGATGGCATTGTACAGAATCAATTTCCGACCAATTAGCTTGTACATTCTTATGGATTTGCTCATATGCCCAGTTGCTGCAACAGGCTTGCAGAGTATGGTCCGCATCGTGTTGGAGCCCGGTTACCAAAAAGGTTCCTGCAGTTTTGTTTAAGGAAAACTGCCTGGCAGAAATATCGGCGTGCCACTACCATTTTCACTAGTCTAGGATATATGTAGGTGCTGCTCATGTGGTTCTTATCTAGTGAACCAGATGACAAGACTTGGACTAACAATAAATTGAAAAAGTCGAATGAAGAGGTGTTACCAGGGGGCACTAACTGAACCCTGGAATCCTGACATAATGGAGAAAAATCTATTGCATTCTTTTGATAGAAGTGAAATGGGGCATAGATCCTGTGAGCTTTTGGTTTTGGTCCAAAAGATATTAATCTCTTCAAGCCTAGAACTCCAAGATTTCACATTCGGACTCTGTAGATCGAGCGACATGAAACTGAAGAAGCCTATTTCCGCCACCATCCTTCCTATATCCAGGTCAGGGGCACGCATTTGCGCAACTGTGCGTGCGCGTGTGCATGTGAGAGAGAGGGGAATATAGTGCTTTAAGAAATTACGACTCATTAGTCCGGATGGAATGAAAAAAAGAAAGCCGCACACTCACGGATCGCCAGTTTCAAACAACAATAACAAAGACCAAAAAAGAATAAGACCGTAGGATAGTATAATTACAATATTAATGAACAAATGAACACTCCAGATAGCAAGTATAGAGCGGCAGCTGAGACTTCCTCTTGTCCAGAAAGGTTGGAGAACTAACTCTCATACATGTAAACGACTCCAAAGGTTCGACTCTCTGGTTTAATGAGATTGCACTGCAGTGGAGATCCACCTTCAATACCCTCAGGAAGCATTAGCGCTCTGTTTTGCCCTGAAGACAAGTTCCTCTGTCGTAGTTCCGATGATCTCGTTAGCACGTTTGAGGTCTACGCAATAATATCTTCCAATAGAATCCTACAATTACAAATATGTGATCGTGTCAGAAGCTATATCATCCCCTTCCAGCGCCACAATTCGCAAGTACTTCAAGCTAGGAATAAAAACAATGCCTCGATCAGTTGCACAATCCAAGAGATCAAAGCTCGCAATATCATTAGGTAGAGTAAAAGACGCTTATGCTATGATGAAGAAAAAGAGGAAACCCAAAGAGCATATTTACCCGAGCGACAATGCCTAGTTTCTCCAGTTTCTCAACTGCATCATCCACATCAAAATTGCAGCTCGCATCAAACACTTCTTTTATTAGCTCTTCACATTGTATATCCAAATCCTTCATCAAGTCATAAGAAAGCCATTCCATTATTAGCAAATAATCCTTTAATAATCCAGAACTTCACAAAACGAAATGAATAAAAAATAGCCAAATACAAAGAGTTGGTCAAACCCGTTTAGTAGCTCTCCCTTGTTCCATCAATATGAAGAATGACAAAATCACCTCTTTGACCTGCATCCAATTGTTTAAACATATTTAAGCCGGGTAATTCCCCGTATTTCAATTCAACTTAACAATAGGTGATGTCTAAGAAATCTCTTCCAATGGCCAGAATGCATAACTGAAATCATTAACCATGTAACAATCTGGTATCTTTCAAATGAATAAGCCTTGGTGGGTTGGATCTCCACAGAACTTTCAGTTCCATCTAGAGGCTAGTCATGGTGTCCAAATCATGTAGCATTTCAATGTCATTTATTAGCTTCTTTTTTTTTCTATTGCATAAACTACCTCCAGAAAGGTTCTTGTACAAGACATAAATATTTCCATTCTTCAACAGTCTTAACTTCTTTGATGCATGAAAAGTTCACAAATGACACAACTTACTTCCTGTTGGATCACATCATCACAGAGGTGCAAAAGAGTCCCCTTCCCACTGTCAAGTTGTTTGTCATACATGGACTGGGTAATTAAGTTCTGATATGCAGCCAGATTTTGCTGAAATCTACGAGCAAAGAAGTATGCCAAAATGAGCAACAAATTTACCCGATGTATTCTCAAAGTCAAGAGAACGGACTACGCATTGTTGTAGCCTAAGTTAATCTATGTAAGATACTATGGCTCTCGATCAATCAAGCAACGTTGTACGATGCATAAATTGTCTTTGTCGTCAGATTCCTAGGTATCCTATCACATAAAACACACAAAGCCCGCACCAATTTATGGACTACCAATTGACTAGATACACTCCTGAACAAACTTTCCATGTAGACCACTTGCATCATTGACTAGACATTTCGATAGCTACGCCAAATTCAACTACTATATACGGAAAACCTATCCATCTGAGAAAACTATGGGAAGGGGGGGGGGGGGAGAGAGAGAGAGAGAGAGAGAGAGCACTTAACGTGAAGTATGTTTTTGCACAGTAACCTATCACTGTAGAAAGCACGGCAAAAATGACCCATAGATCAGCTTTAGGCATGTCAAGAGAACCAACTACAGCACCCTGTGGGATATGATTAGTTCATTAGTATAGTGTAAACACACATCCCACTCTGAAAATAGGGGAAAAAACACTAACCAGACCAACTACAGCAGTGGCAAGAAATTTCACCCAGTCCATTGGAGTCAACCCAGGATTTTTCTTTGCAGGCTGTTAATAGGCAAAAAGTACCGACACCACGTCATGAACATCATAGAGATCATAAGAAGAAAGAGTCCAAGGTGACAGGGAAAATTAAACACCAAACAAACATGCTCAGAAAAAGATTTACTAGTACTATCTCCATATCCGCCATTGGAATGTTTTTGAAATGCTTTAGATATATTCCTCTTTCAGCTTTCGAGTTGGAACTTGAGCGCCTGAAGAGGTAATAGCCTTGTTAGTTGTTAGATCAAAGAGATTTTTCTTTGTAAACAATTCTAGAAAACGATGAACCGAAATAATAAAAAAAATATGAACTAGTTTTAGGTAATAGTTCTGTTTCGCTAACTCCTCCCAGAATTTCATTACCCTTCCTTACATGCACGCCAAGATCACAATCTGTGAACTTATAAGGAGGATAGTTCTTGAAAAGAACAAATGGCTATTATCCAAACCATTCAACACAAATCTTAAATGACAGCGCTTTCAACAGAACACGAGAGTACCTGTAAAGAACGATTATCCTGTCAAAGGTGGGTTCTTGGATAGTAATCTTGCTTAGAAGATTGCGAAAACTGCAAACAACGTAGAAGTATCACAGATAGACAAATCTAGAATGGAAGGCACAAGGCAAGAATGTTTCCGTGTCTGTTTTGCCGTTCAATACTTACTCATCCATCAATACTTGAGAAAGAATTTCTGGACAAGTGAAAACCGTACAGCTCCAAAATTTCGAACGACATAACACATCATAAATGCCAAAAAAGGCAGCAGGAGCAGAAATATACAACCCTTACTTAGAAGTTTGAGTCTATCAACCATCATAAAAACATTTAATAAGGCTCTTAGATTCTGATTATCTTCTAGAATTAATAGACAGTTGTGCAAAACACTACAATTTCCACTTTGGCCACGCTCATTCTCTAACGATCAAGAAACTTATGATTTGCAAGGTACCTTCTCGAGCTCAATATATACAAAATGCTAATATCAAGTCTTTAATACTGGAAAGCTTGGAGAAAAAGCAATTCATGACGGGCTCTCATCTGCACCATTGAGATATTCAGCATCTACAGCAGGAACAAGGGAGAAGGAGAAATATGGAATCTCATCTATCTGATTTTTGGACAGAGCAAGCATGACCTCCAGCAAGTGGCACCAAAAAAATGTTGGTCAGACATCAAGCTATCTGAATAGGTAGGTAAATATAAACCATGGGGCATGAGGACCATGGCATGGTATGAGCCCCAAGAATCGCAAAACTTTAACCAGCAAAGAAAAGGCAAAATGCAAAACAGTTTTAAACTTCAAAGCACCTTATATGCATATTTTCTATACGAATTCGTTCTACATATAGGTCATTCTGCTCTCCTTCAGTCACAATTTCATCATTCTTCTTTGGATTTCTCTTACGACGTGCACTTGACCATCCAGACAAAAGTTTCTCAATCCTGCAAAAACCAAAAGCTGGATGAAATTGCAAAAGGAAAAAGGCTGAAAACAAGTTTGGAATTAACAGCTCAAACAAACAAAGTTTCAAAAAAACTCTTACAACATATCTTCTTAATTGACTTGTCAGAAAAATAACTCACTTGGTGAGTTTCAAAATATATGCCCAAATACGTGCGATGATCATGTCCACTTTCTCCATGAAAAAGTAACCTTTTGTTTGATCCATCCCAATGCCGCGTCTGAATATGACATACTTTGAAAGGGAAAATCATGAATAAAAATCAGAGAAACGGAGAGAGGTAACTATCTTTTCAATCACGAATAGCAAAGCATTACATTACAAAAATTTCTAAGCATATAAATCATATGGTCTAACACGATGAATATGTAGTAAATGCCTAAAAGGGAAGATTAAGCACCACCAGACAATAAGACCGCGCTAGATCTTGATAACTTCCCTTCCAAAAGAGAGGAGATTAAATCAAGATGATACCAATCAACTAGCAGCCCTGTAAGTACCTTATCTGAAAAATCTGGAAGATTTTCTCGAGGATGCTCTGCAAAGTATCTTTTCAGAAGCTTCTTGTCAAGCTACATTTGCCAAACAAAATGAAATAAGCAGATAATATAGCTATGCGAAAATACGAGATATGCTTTATTACTTAGCCTCTCTTTTCTCAGATATACTAAAGGCGCAATATCAATCTCGTCGCTAGCTATTTAACTTAATGCATCTCCTTAGTTCTTTCACAGAAGATGCATAGGCACTTGATCCCATGCCACAAACATATCTTGGTCCCATATGTGCAATTTCATACCTTAGATTCATCGACTGTAATTGGAAGATTAAGGCGATATTGGCCAGAAAGGGCAATACCAATTTCCTCATTTGTAGCAATTTTGAAGTTGCTCTTATCCATAACCTGCAAAAGGCGAAAACTGCATTTATTATTGTATGTTCTCCTAATTTTTCCCAAAAAAAAAAAGGAAAAACCCAAAAGCTATAGATAGAGTGAGTGGGGTACATAAGAAGAATTAAGTTGCAGAAGTTTCTACTCCTGTAGCTTTCTCATAATTTCTTTTGTACTTTATGTATCAAATCTACGACATCTACAGCAGAAGAGGCCATTTTCCCTTCTTGTTTACAGCAGAATGCAAACCGTAAGTCACACTTGAGAAATTGTTATGGATGAAGAATCGGTACTGTGTCCTTCATATTTTCTCACTGCAATATAATTGAAGCCCACTGTAAATAGAGGGCCATGTGTTCCTAAATTCCTAGCTGGAGGAAGCCTTTTAATTGATGGGCGACAAGCATGGGAATCACCCATGTTTAAATTAAGTTTACATTTGGATAATAATGTCCATGACTTGTAACCCAACCACCCATCGTAGTCATGGACCAGGATGGAGGAACATACAGCCCATGAATAAATTCCTTGCTGTCTTGTGGCATAAGCCATTATGATTTTAAAGAGCCAATAGTAATAGGCACTTTCTTCGTGCTCAATCTTTATGCTAAATCATTCTCACGGTATTTAATTAACAAAGAGAAGGAAATGAATGGATCTTTCTTGTACAACACATGAAGGGATAAGAACAGTAAGAGTGCCATAATTTCATATGACGCTCACTTGAATACCATAACTTTTTTTCGCTCATTTAAGTGCCATATCGAAGTAAAATCGATCATTTGAGTGCCACTTCCGACACCGACGTGAATAATTTTTGTAATTTTGTCGCTCACTTAAGTGTCACAAAATTGAAAAATCAATCGCTTAAGACTTAAGTGCCATCAACAATTTGTCTCACTGGAAATCTGCCGTTAGCCTCGCCCGTCCAGGCCATGGCGGCCTTGCTTGCTGCGGGCGAGGGCACAAAGGCCCTTGCTAGATCTGGGCGAGGTTGCCTCGCCCACGACTGGCAAGGCCCCGATGGCCTCACCCAAGGCCATCGCGACCTCGCCGGTTGCATGCAAGGCCACGAAGGTTTTCGCCAGATTTGGGCAAGGCTGGCGGTTGATTTTTCGGTGAGGCAAATTGTTAATAGAACTTAAGTAATTGATTTTTCAAATTTGTGGCACTCAAGCGAGCGAAATTTTTTTTACAAAAGTTGTCCACGTTGGTGCCAACGAGGCCACACAGGACAACCGGCGTCCACGTAGGATAATGGCGCTTATGTGATCGATTTTTCAAATTTGTGGCACTTAAATGACTGTTGAAAAGTTACGGTATTCAAGTAAAAGTTATGCACTCATGTGTGTATGGTCAATCAACTTTCCAAGTCAAATATTGCATTAAATCTCTACTCGCTAGTAAAACATCCACAAAAGTTCAAGGAAAAGTATACAGGAAGCTGTAGTACCTGAAATAGGTAAGAAAGAAACTTTTGCTCAAGTTCGTCAATCCCTTCAGAAGAGAGGTTTTGCCGTTCCAACTTCTGAGCCCCACGCACAGGATCAAAGAGAGAGTAAAGTTGCTGCAGTTATTGGAACAAAATCATAAGTAAGAATAGTGAAATTAGAGGAAACAACCAAAAAGACCGAGTTAACCAATTAAACTAACTAAAAGCAGAAGCTCAGACAATAGAATCGGGAAGAATACAGCTGTACACACCATCAAGTCCTCAAATTGCAGAAGATACCAGGCTCGAATTGTATATTCAACTCTCTTGCACAACCTTAAAAACTCTTTACGGTCAGAACTATGCACTGCGAGAAAAAGAAAAGGGAAAAGAAAGGAAAGGAAAATCCTACTGGTGAGAGGCTCTCCAAACAAAGAGGAACAAGAAAGTCAAAACTACCCAAGAAGACAGCACAAACATCCGGTTTGAGTTACCGATTGTTGAAGTGTTAGGACACATGAAGAAGAAGTGACGGCGAGGAAGGACGTACCGATGAGATTGGCCAAGGTAATGATGAGCTTCGGCTTCAGGACCGGAATCACCGACTCGCGCTCCAGTCGAATAACCTCCTCCTTCTTCTCCGCCATCTCTGTCTCTCTCTGTCTGGCGATTGTCGAGAGCTGGAAGAAGAAGAAGTAGAAGAAGAAGAAGAGGGGATGGATTGAAGGAGACGTCGAGCGAGATTCGTGTGATTACACGAGAAGTATTCTTTGGAAGAGGGATAGAGCGATTTGTTCTTTGCAGGGGAGAGAGGCGATGCCCGAAGACTGGCCAAGCTTTCTCGTAACCGACACTGTCACTCTGCTCCATAATACTAGGCACTGTTTCTACGCCTAATCTCCAGCTTATGCATCAGACGAGTAAGGAATAATGAAACATCTCAGTATTCAAAGAACAGCAGCATTTCCAACTTATAACAACACCGGCAAAGAGGAGTTCAGATGACATACTTGGAGGCAGGGGATTTTGTATCTCCTCCCACTGGATTTCCTGGTACACACACAAAAGCTGGCCAATTAGATATATTAGCAATTAGTTTCAGATAGCAACTGATACTTGGAATGGCCAGAACCATGACCAGAAAAGGCACATGCATCACACAACAGTTTGTCAGAATATGTGTATGGAGAAGAAGATCTACATATGCGTACATGAACATCCATGTACCCGTTTATCTATCTCGGAACAGTCTCATTGATAGGATCCTGAAAGTGCTATCAAATTGTCGGAACCAATCTGTTATTGTGTGGACTAATTCGGTCGATTATAGTTCAAGGAGCAATGGCTCGATGGATAGCCTCAGAGGGGAGTTCAATGCCTTCGCAGGGGGAATTCCACATGAAATTTTTCTGCTTCCAAGTGCAGATTTTGTGGGCACCAATGGCGAATCTTGGGGGGTGGTTGCCGAGTGATTGGGGCGCGTCTTGCTCGCTGAGAGTCCTCAATTTGGGTCAGAATTATTTTGCTGGTGTAGCATGGGGGTCTGTAGAAAGCTTTCCTTCTTGGATGGGAGTTCGAATAATTTGATGGGTCCACTCCCTTCGCAGTTGCAGATTCCATGTATGGTCTACTTCAATGTCTGCCAGAACAACTTAACTGGCGTTCTTCCCAAGTTTCCGCAAGGCAGTTGCACTGCTAACACGATCTTCAGTGAAGAAAGCATCAATCTTCAGAATTCCAACTTGGTCATTTGGACTTCTAGAATAGGATTTCTTCTGGGTCCAATGTAAATGGTAACTCTGTAGTGGTTCATTTGCCCGTTGCCTCAGTTTGTGTTGGGAGATGAATTTGTGGGAACTGATAGGAGATCTGCATACACTCTTACTGAACAAAAACAAGTTCAACGGGTCTTTTCCTGTCAACCTAGTCTCGAACTTCACTGACATTTTTGGATCTTTCTCAAAATGCTCTGACAGGATCAATACCTGCAAGTTTGACAAATGCCTTAAATCTTGTATATTTGCTTCTTCATTATAATGGCCTCTCTGGGGAGATTACTCAATCTTTTTCGGCCCTTCCTAATCTTGTGACTCTGGACATTTCTTCAACAATCCTTCTGGCCATATTCCACACCTTCAGCACCAGAGTGATTGCAGTTCTTTTAGAGGAAATTTGCACCTGCTTCCTTGCCCAGATTTGTATGTTACACCTCCAGCAGGGCTTCCAGTGCTGTTGGAAATTAAAATGTCTCATGGCCCAAAAAAACTAAAGCCTCTCATCATCGCCCTGGTAACTTCTGCTGCTATTATACTCAGCATGCTCATAATTATGGTCCTTGTCCTTGTCTTGGGAAGGAGAAAGCTTAGTCGATTTACTAGCTTGAGAAGGAAAGTAGTTGTTACCTTTGCACATGTTCCAGCTGAAGTGAACTACTAGCGTGGTTAGAGCGACAGAAAATTTCAAAATCCGATATCTAATTGGTATGGGTGGCTTTGGCTCAACGTACAAAGCAGAGTTTGTCCCTGGTTTCCTAGTAGCTGTAAAGAGGCTATGTGTTGGTAGATTTCAAGGCATTCAACAATTAGATGCAGCAATAAGAACTTTAGAGAGAATGGCATTAGAAACTTGTTACTCTTATTGGGTATAATGTGGGAGAGACAGAAATGTTCTTGATTTATTACTTTCTATCTGGTGGAAACCTTGAAGCCTTTATACATTAGAGGTCCGGAGCAAATGTAAAGTGGCCAGTGATCCACAAAATAGCTCTTGATGTAGCACAGGCTCTGGCTTGCCTCCACTACTCTTGTAGTCCCAGAATTGTTCACAGGGACATCAAGCCAAGCAACATTCTGCTAGACAGCAAGCTTAACGACTACCTTTCAAACTCTGGGCTTGCTAGGCTCTTAGAAGCTTCTGAAACACGCCATGACGGATGTAGCTGGTATGTTCGGGTATGTGGCAACAGAATATGCGACCACGTGCCGGGTTTCTGACAAGGCAGAGTATATAGCTTTGGTGTTGTACTGTTGGAACTGATGTCAGGGAAGAAATCGATTGATCCCTCACTCTCTGAATTTGGAAATGGGTTCAACATTGTGGCATGGGCCAGATTCCCAATTAAGGAGGGCCGTTCATCTGAGCTACTCTAGACAGAACTACGGCAGGCTGGGCCCCTGGAAAATCTTTTGGGGATGCTGAGGCTTGCATCAGTTTGCACAGCAGAGTCGCTCTCCCTTCGCCCCTCGATGAAGCAGATTGTTGAGGAGTTGAAACAGTTGAAATCTTGAGTTAAACAAGGCTTCTCGACTCTTTGTATTCAGAGGGGAGAAGTTGGAGCCTCTTCTTACCACAGTAAATATTTGATCGAGGTGAGTAGTTTTTACAGATTGTAAGTTTGATCTCACGTTTAGATCTAGTCCTGTGTATACTTCTCTGATAATTCCCTTTTGTTGATTCATTTAGGAAAAATCACTACAGAAAGATGTTGATATTCTTGTTCATTTCCTTTATGTAATCTTAAAGTCGTGCTAATGTTTACTCGATGAATCTCCCCGAGCATCAAACTCGATCAGTCTATAGATGTGGTCCACTATTTAAAAGGCAGGCTGCCTCCAAGAATCATAGCATATTATATTTATGCGATGCCTGAAACATGTTACTCTTGAAGACAGTACACTAACAGTTAGTGATGACTCCCAAATTCCCGCTGCCAGGGGTGGAGCTCTACAATTTAAATCATGCTGAATTTATTTGTCTTGCGGTCTGTTATCTAAGGATGAAAAGGTGACCGTGAGGATCTCAGCAGAGCCTTTATTTAACTCATCGCAGTGTTGATTTCTCCAGCCGTACTCCTCGTAACCCAAACGCTCCTCAAACTGAAGCACCTTACGTGTTGTTTCCACGGGAACATCCAAAATCCCGAGACACTGGAGTGAGATCTGCCGTGGACTAATCTCTCAGCCAAATGTTTTACTTGGAAAAGAGTGACAGGGCACTCGAGTAAGTACTTGCGAATACTGTGACAAAGGAGAGAGTTCCATGTCACCTGCTTATATGCTCCCCTGATTTAGGGCCTATTTGGTTCAACATTTGAAAGCTACTTTGGAGCTCTAAAGTCCTTTGATAAAATGCAAAGTTGTTTGGCAAATTTTTTGGCAAGTTTTGAGGAGATGCAATTGCATCTCCAAAGCTTTCCAAGGGCCTTTGGCTGAATGGAGTCCATGAGGGGCCCGTTTAATTCGACTTTGGGGAAATGTAAATATCTTTGGGCTAAAGGGATTTTCTGAAATGCAAGTAGTGTTTGATAAGTATTTTTTAAAATCAACTTGGGATAAAGGACTTTTGCTAATATTTATAAAAAAAAAAGCTCCGGTGGAGCTTAACCACCGGCCAGATCTGGTCGCCAGCCACCGCCGCCGGCTAGATCTGGTCGCCGGCCACTGTCGCTTGGGGTCGCGCGACCCCGGCGACCGCCGCATAGGGTCGACGGACCTCAGGCGTCACTTGGGTCGCGCGACCCAGGCGGTCGCCGGACCTCAGGCATCGCTGAGGTTGCGTCCGTTTGGTTCGACTTTGGGGAATGCAAATACCTTTGGGCTAAAGGGATTTTCTGAAATGCAAGTAGTATTTGATAAGTTTTTTTTAAAATCGACTTGGGCTAAAGGACTTTTGCTAATATTTAAACAAAAAAAAGCTCCGGTGGAGCTTAACCACCGTCCAGATCTGGTCGCCAGCCACCACCGTCAGCTAGATCTGGTCGCCGGCTACTGCCAAGCGACCGCCGCATGGGGTCGACGGACCTCTGGCATCGCTTGGGTCGCGCGACCCATGCGGTCGCCGGACCTCGGGCATCGTCGGGGTCACATGACCTAAGCGACGCCTGAGGTCTGGCAACCCCTGGCGGCGGTCGCCGGGGTCGCTTGACCCCCGGACGACGGTCGCCGGGGTCGGGCTAGCCCTCAGGCGACGGTCGCCGGACCTCGGTCTGGGGAAGATGAATAGTGCAAGTTGCATTCCGAAAATGCAACTTCCCAAAGCACCTCCATCCTTACATTGGTCAAAAGTCCCTTGGAGAGCATTTCAAATGCAATTGCATCTCCCCAAAGTGAGTAAAAAATATTGTCAAACACCATTTGTATTTAGCTAAGGGACTTAGAGCCCAAATGAACATTCCAAATACTGAACCAAACAGGGCCGAGGAGCCTTGGGAAGTTGCATTTTCGGAATGCAATCGGGCACTGTTCATCGCGCATTGTTCATTGTCTTCCAAGCAGCTAGTCCGGCGGCCAGCCATCGCTGCCTGAGAGCTAGCGCCCTGGCGATTGCCGCCTGGGGTTGTCGGACCTCAGGGCGTCGCTTGGAAGGCGCGACCCGGGCGGCGCCTTTGAGGTCCGCGACCTCGGGCGGCGGTCGGCCAGGATCGCACGACCCCAGGTGACCGCCCGCACGAGGTCATCGGACCTCAGGCCGCCTCGCCTAAGGTCACGCGACCTCAAGCCGCCTCGCCTGACCTCAGGCGAGGCTGGCCGGCGACTAGATCTGGCTGGCATCGGTGGTCGGTTGGCCATCTTTTTTTTTTTTTAAATAACAGCAAAAGTCTTTTACAAATAATTTTTACCAAATCGTATTTAGACCAAAGTTGCTTTCAAATGTGATTTTAAAATATACATTATCAAACACTACTTGTATTTTGAAAAACTCTTTTAGCTCAAGGGCCTTTGCATTTTGCCAAAGGTATTCCCCCAAAACCGAACCAAAGGGGCCCTTAATAGTCTGCGTATGCCAAAAAAACTAAATTACTCGAGACATCAGCAGTAACCTGATGGTTAGAGCTGGGGGACCGGAAGTGCTGGCGACATGGGATTTCGCAGTTCTTTCTCACGGTGAAGAGCAATATTCTGGTCAAGTTGATTCATGGAGATGCTGAACAGAATCTAGGGGCGAAAGACTGTTGTTTTTTTGGTCGGTT